CAAAACTCTGTACAAACAAGGGAGAAAAGGTCACTTTTTTTCAGACTGAAAGAGGGGCTCACCCTAGGGGGTCGATGGCTTCTGCTAGTTTCCATTAAAAGCACTGGGGCACATTGCAGAGTGCCCCAGGTAAGCTTATAAAAGGTCAGCTCCTCATTTTCATGTCTTTTAAAGTTGCTAAATTAAACATTTTTTCCCCATTAGGTTGAAGGAACTGTCTTATGGAATTCGACTTGCTCCAGATTTACCAGTGAAAAATGATCAACAGAAAATGATTAAAACTTGCGTAGTTGGTACTCCACTGAATGCCTAGCTTCGGCAAAAGTTCATTCTAAACCACACAATTCATTTTCCGACAGTTTGCACATCACAGAAAAATGTCATAAAGTGTAGAATCAGTGTGGAATCTAAATGATTCTAAAATGCAACACACACACACACACACACACACACCACACACCACACACCACACACAAATCTATCTGATGCATAGAAAGACACTCTTTGGTAACTGCTTCAATAGTTCAGTCAAAATACCACATATGAGAGAAAAATAAAGAGAAAGAATGAGAAGGGGAAGAGAATGTGGGATAGAAAGGAAATCAGACTGGACTGGGACAGTGCCAGGTTTCTCTTCAGACTCGGGAGTCCTTTACAGAGTCCTAACTCTCTAGCCATCATCTGAAACTTCTGTTTTGAAAATGGCGGCAAGTGTCAGATTTGCTGCAGAGGTGATCTGCTTTCTGAAGAAAAACGTCTCACTGCACACTCGGCTGAGAAAATACGGAGAAGCTCTTTTGCTCTAATTAGGGCCCACGTTAGGCAATTCGTTAAGCCGTGGCCCCATGCCACAAGCTGTCAGGAGGTGGAGCATGGGGCGAACCTGAGAGCGAACACACAGATGGAGGCTAATGATGCTTTCTATCACCCCAAGGCAGGGAGCTGGGCAGGAGTGCCAGGGAGGCTCCGGGTGAAGCCTGCTCACCAAAAATCCCAGCGGGAAATGGAAAGAGCACTGGCTAGGTCAAGCCAAGCAAGCACATCCAGACACCAAACCCATGTGACACTCACCAACAAGCGTGGGCCTCCCCAAGGCCAAGTAAGAGCAGTCTCTCTCTCCCACACAAATCCAGACTTGGTCTGAGTGCCCTGTGAGGAGCCACCCGGGAAGGATCCTGGTCCTGGGCTAGGCCTCAGATCCCTCTTCCTTCAAGGTCCCACTGCTGCCTCCACTCACCACTGGGGCTCAGAGAAAGGTGGAACCAGTCGCCAAGTATGCAAAGGAGGAGGGAAGCTAGTTTTCTCTCAGGGAAGCTCACACAGGAAGGGAGCCTATGCTTCCTGTCCTAACCAAAGTGAGTTCAGAAATCATTCGGATGTCTGATTTGTCAGACACAGGGTGGAAAGGGGGTGTTCTTTAGTCAACGGGAATTGTGACTTCCCCCTAGCAAGACATGGCCATGGGAGAAATGTAGCTGGGCCAGGCCTGCGAAGGAGAAGCTCAATGGCCTACATGCTTGAGACTTGGGCTTTTCGATATTTCACTTAAAGAGTTTATCACCATGGGTTGAAGACACACTGGCATCCACTTATTTATCACAGTCAGACATGAAAATGGGGAAATGCCCAAGAAAATAATGTGTCAGTTGTCTTTAGACTGTGTCCCCAGGCAGCTGTGTCCCTTTGGAACTTTCTCATGAAGAGCCAGTGAGATACCCCAAACCAGGGCAGACATCCATTTCTCCCCTTAGAAAGTTTTTGCGAATCATGTTTGGTGGGCTGGGATAGTTCACTTGTGACATGCAGTGCACTATGCAAAAATGCTTACACATGTCTTAAAACTAACTGTTCCATTAGCGTTTAACAGCTAAAGGCTATACCAAACAAACACCGTCATAAAGGGGGCCCTGGAATTCTGAGAGCAGGGGCAGATACTCCAGCAATGAGACAAAGAAACCTGAGGTTATGAAGGCACGTGCTAATGTCAGAATGAGAGGGAGGTGAAGAAGCAGAGGTTTATACGAAGAACACGAGTGTGAGCATCGCATCAGCATCACGGTGAAATAATTCTGTTACTGTTCATATGGATTTATCAGAGTGCTGACCCAAGACTCCAACAGACCCCACTTCTCCATAGCTCATCACCTGTATTTGTGTGTGTGTGTGTGTGTGTGTATGTGTGTGTATGTTTAATGCTAATTCTCTGACACTCAACAATCCTAAGAGTAAAAAACAATACATGTGTCTTTTTGGAGCGGGAAGCAAGGTCTCTTTCAAGACGTGAAGTGGATTTCTGTCTCTCTCCCCCCGGCACCCTCAGGAGCTGTCACTTGCTGCATTGCCATTTCCCGTGTTTTCCTGGAAAATGTGATGCTCACACAGTGAACCCGTGGAACGAAGCAACGTGAGAGAGCTGCAAGGAAGAACAGTCCTGTTCGTAGGTTTCTAGTCAGAGTAGGAGCTTCGGCTAAAAGAAGGAACCACAATGCCCCCAAATATTTGTCAGTCTTAAAAACAGGCAATAACGGTTCCCAAGGAACTCAGAGGCTCCTGGTTTGCCTTCGGAGGCAAATTCGCTTTCGTCATTCTCCTCTGAACACAACAAGTGCCACCTATTTTATAGAGGGATTGTTTTGAAACGTCAAACAGTAGAGAGGGCATCCCGCTACTCACGCACGCCTTGAGGAACCTTACTAACTGCAGTAGCTGTAGTCGAATGTGCAAAATTTGACGAGCACTCAAAATGCCCTAATATTATACAACTAACATTATCTATGCCCAAATCTGCCATTATAAAGAAACCATTATATTTTATATTAAAAAAGTAAAAAAAATAAATAAGATGAAGGAAATTAATCTCCCAGGTTAGGTGCATTTATTTAATAGTAAAACTCCTTTCATTGCCACCTTCAAGCTTCTGTCACTCCACACAATGTGTGTGATGTGTGCTTGTGCAAGCAGGAGTACATAGGAACACATGCAATTTATTTCCTGCATATATTAATACAAGTAATCCTGATATATATTAAACACACACACACGATCCCCTCGGATTTCAGAAATTCTGTCATCCTCATGAATAATGGGCTGTTACATTAACTAAAGATGAAACACACAAATTCAGATAAAGGAAAACGCTTCCTCAAACCAAAGAACCATCATCCTTACACCCAGTCTCAAGTGGAGTAGAAAATGCAAGGGACCTATGGACCTGCTGGGCTTTAGATGTTTTGGCCAATAAATTCACTGTGATCTTAATTTTTCAACAATGGAAACTGCGCAAGAACGACCACCACCTGCTTTCTCTTTAGGGCACAGCACACAAACTTCTCAAGAGAGTCAGACATCCCACCCCCACACTTTATTAGCAACCAGTGTCTACTTGTGAGGCCACCATGGTGAGATATTATTTGCTACGATGCTCCTAAATTTGGGGGGGGGGGACTTGGGATTTGCCCTCCACTTAAAAAAACACTAATGAATTATATAAACATGTACTTTGGATTTCTTAACTCTAGGTTTCAATTATCACCATGAACAAAAAATCAAAACCGTCAAACTTAAAACATTTTTTGTCATCAGCTCTAGTGAATTGTAAGTCTGGGAAGCACATTTTTTTTTTCTTCTACGAGAAAAGGAACAAGCATGTATGTTTGTGGAAAAATATGAAAATATACATGTTTTTAGAAAAATATAAAATGCTCCATTGTCATTTACATGGATGTACTCCACATATGTCCTCAACATGTTCTGTGTATTACAGGGTGCTGATCTAATGTAAGGAGATGAATCTTTTGTCATGGATATTTGTCCCCGTTTAAATTTTGAGTCACATATCAAATAATCTGATTTGCTACTGAAACCATTTGGACACATACTAACATAATAAGAATCATGCTTAAAATTTTACTTTAAAAATCTCATAGAAAACAATTGAATGAATTCAATTAATCTCATAGAACAAATATCGCCAAACAAAGAAACTAACGCAGGCTCTGTGGTTTTCTTACAGATTTCATCCCCCTCTCCATTCATAACCCAAAGGAACTAATCATTAAAAGCATTTCAGTGTCTATGAAAAGTATTATACATTTTAGGCATTTTCGACGTTTTAAATTTTCTTTTCCAGGTATGTTGGACCAGTGAAGTGCTATTTCCCTAACACCACTTTGGTTCTGGAAGTTTAGGACAAGGCAGCTCAAAGGTAAAATACGTTATCTGTAGCAGGAGGAGAAATTACGCGTGGGTAACTTGGGCAAACGGCATGTTTAAATTCACTCTGGATGGGCTCCAACCCGAGAGAAAATGGAAAATTGAAAAGGCTACTGGCTCAGACCTTTTGAAATGTTACCTCTTTGGGTCACCAGATGTCATATCCTGAAGCCTACAAATTAGAAGGAAATCAGGGGCTTATAAGATTCCTTGGTAATCACTAACTAGTGATGCTTCGCTATTAAAAAAAAACACGCACACATTTCAAAAAAATCGCAAGCCTATTTGATAACAGGGTCTCCCTGCCATAGCTCCATGACCTGGGATCACACACTGCGATGAACAAAGTACAGTTTCAATACCCAGGTCATTTCCATTTTGCACAAAGCAAACTAAGACTGGATTCTACCAGGAAAACAAATGGCCCTCGCACCAAAAATAAGGAAAGTCTTTACCCACGACTTTGGAAATGCTTGTTTCTGTGATCTCACTAGATCTATCCATATAAGCCTAAACATGAGTAGGGCATGTTCTTCGTGGGACTTCAGGCTACTCAGAAGTGGCTCAGGCTGGCCTGGTCGCGCACCTGCTCGTCCCAGCCCCTAGAGAGGCGGAGGGACGCTTTGGTTAAAGCTCTCCGTCCTCAGAAAGGAAAAGACAGACGTGAGCAACACGGACACTACACTATGGATTTCAACTGACTTTCCTTTCTTTCCTACTTCTAATTAAAAAAAAAATCCACCAGTTATCCCAAGTTTTCCTACTGAAATTAATTTGAAAACACTCACGTGGATTTGTATGCCGCGCTTTGGGGGCCAAGACTGATCCTGGGGCGCGAAGAGCAGCCGGGGATCTGGGGCTCCTGTACCCCGCGGGACCTACTCGGTCTCCGCCTGCCACGGTCGAGTGTCCCGGGATGGGCTGCACTGCGCCGGGCTGCCGCTGTTGCCGGCCCGGG